GATTGTCTTAAGAGGCGACTAAAATCTAATAGTTCACGCGACAGTCGAGTCCTTTTACCGGAACAATCCGGGTTTTTATGCGGCCAATATGTGGGGAATATATTTACGGTTACAACAACAACAAAAAACAAAAATAGTTTATTGAGTTCTCAAGACCAGCAATTGTATCGGAATACAATAAGCACATAGAGGCGTAGATTTGTCTCATATGAATGCTCAATCATCGTTCTACACTAAATAATTATTAGCTGCAATATCATAGATCCTCGCGGCCGCGGTAGCCGAGTGGTTAGCGTTGCGTACTGACATTCGGAAGGCTCGGGTTTAAATCCCCGTACGATCCACATCCAAAAGTTAAAGAAAATTAATTTAAATAAAAAATTAATTTAAATTCTCTAATTCCCGTCGCCCCGAGGCAGGGAATGTTCACACAGTGTATTTCTGTCATGAAATAAAGCTCCCCATGAAAAAACTATCAGCCGTTCGGAGGCGGCTTAGTATAAACTGTAGGTCACTCCATTTCTTGGAAAAACATGAAGACGCAAAGCCACAAATTAGATTAGTAGCTCGGCGGAAAATCGTCAATTATATATGAGTACACATACATAAAAAAATAATTTTTCCAAACAGTCGTGCGGTCACGAAAGGGTTAAGCTCTGTGGTCTGATATAATAGAAAGGGCAGAAAATCAAATCATTAAAAGACTACACAAAATTCCGCCAGTTAACAAAATCACTCTGTTTGTGGAACATAAGAACTTCTTAAAATAAGTATTTGCTTAAGTTATTCCACATTGACAAAGAGCAAGGCGACAGTAAAGAGCGCAGATTAAGAGAGTAATGTCTGTTCGAATGATACGAACTCCATGGGAGAGTCAAATATATTTTTGAATTTTTTGTTTTGTGTACAGTGGATGCCGGCATGCTCATAAGCATTGATGTGGATGCCATGTATGAAGGTGACCAGAGAGCAATAATAAATACATTTTTACGCATTTGTTTGTTGGAAGATATTAATTTTTTAATTGTTACAGAAATGAAAATAATATACATATGTATATATCATACAAATTATGAATTTCTCAGCTGATTGAATTTAATTTTTTTTTGTTTAAGGAATTTATTGTATTTGCTAAATTAAAGCCTAACTCTTGATAACTAGTGAATTATAGCTCTAGTCTCTTAGTTATATTATTAATAGAAATTGGTGACAGGTAAGACGGTGATCATGAGAAAACTGGCAGATACCTTCTTTGAAGACGTCTTCAGTCATCATATAAACATATATGGAGTCATCTAAATAGATGCATTAGAATTGCTCTGAGATAAAAGAATTTAATTATTTCGTCGTTCAAGAAAAAAATATCAACAAGAAACTGCTGTAGCTAAATAAAAGAACGAAACAAACACAAAATAATTCGCTGATTTGGCCACAATCATCGCATTAGTACAATTATACACTCAGCAAGCATAGCCAACCGGCCGTTCAAGCGACTGACAGTCCGCTAAAACGGCTGAGGCATGGTGTGCCTAAACAGGTTTCACCTTGATACACGAACCAGTATCAATTGCTTCCAGCAGTCTCTGCAACAAAAACTTCAAAAATCCTGTTTTGCCAAAACTACTCTCACGTGTATACACAAAGTACACAACTCGCATTCAACTGCCCGCACACATGGTCATATACATACAAACATATCTATAATATATCTATGTATGCATTATTTACAACTGTCAGTACATACATATGTACATACATAACTACTCAAGTTGTTGCTAGTTATATTGTAGTTGGACCCTGCCTGCACAAATTATGTACGTTTGTTGCGGGGATTCAATTCAATTCGAAGATTTGGATGCTGGAGTTCAAGTGTTCGTGCCTGCCGGTTTATCAGTCCCCCCAATCCGTTTGATACTATACTCATCGTCCACACTGCGCCATATTACCGTAAAACCTGCTGCTGCTGCTGCTGCTCGAGGGAGTCTGACTTTACTTTTTGATTGTTGCTGTGTGTTGCTTCGCACGAATTTGAATTTTTTGTTTTGTTTTTATTTACATTTTCTTCAATATTCCGTATCTACTTGTAGGGACTTAACTGGATGTTCGGTAGGTGAGTGTTCGGAGCATTTAGTTGTTAGCTGTGGGTGTTTATTTTGAATTTAATGTCCACACTTTTTAAGAGAAAAGCAAGAGCATTTTACATAGCCCATAGCCCACTAGGAACATATTGAGTGCGTGTCAATATATATATATTTTTTTTTTTGCCGTTAGTTTCAATATAGCTGTGAATGTGAATAAAGAATGAGAAATCCTAGGCAGCTTAAAGAGGCTTGACCTGGACCCTGGGTGTAGCTCACCAAATTTGTTAGCACTGCCCAGCACTGTTAGTCGCCTGCATATTTTATACGGCTGTTCACCCTGACGAGCAATACCAGAAGAGCAGCCAGTCCGAATCGTAAGAAATCAAACGAGGTTTTAAGAAAATATGAGTTATTCAATCAAAAACATGGTCTAAGGCACAATCTTCCATACGGTCTTACTGGCTTATGCTAATGATATTGATACCATTTGCCTCAAAAATCGTTTTCTCCCGACTGGATAAAATTTCATGCCATCAAACAAAACAAATAGTCGACGCTTTCGCGTCTTGAATCCCAAGCCACTCTTAGCATATTTCGTATGTTTAGAAACCAAGATACGGACTTAACGGCGTTTAGCAAGTAAACCTTTCAACCAAAAAAAAAAAAGTCCAGTCTCTACTAGTCGCCCATACCTCCTTATGGTTCAAAATCCTGGGGTAATCCTTCGAGAGGGAGATTTTGGAGAAGATTTATGATTCTCTGTTAATGAGCGCGTAAGAATAACATAGATGCTGGAACGATGCAATGTACGACATATAGGGTGCCATTGATTTAGTTTAGTAGTTAAGGCGGCTGAGTCATGTTGCATTACCGTATTACATATATGCGATGCAGTTTCCGTCACTGGAAGCAGGAGGAGAGTAAGACCCCTCCCTGGCCTCGCTTAAGAACTGGCAAGATTAGTCTAAGTCATCGAGATCGTCTAACTAGACGCGCAGGAAATGAGCTGTTTCTACGGAATCCAACCCTTTACCAGTATTATACGGAACTATCGAGGCAGCTCGAGCTCTTCTTTTACAATGGGTTGTGACTTGACGCCGCCAACGCCATTTACTGGATGAGAGCCCAGGAAGCTGTTGACAGAATCCCGTTGAATAGCGTTTAATGCCTGTCCGTAAGCTGCCCTGTCCAGCGATTTTTGTAAGTGGCGTTGAATGCAGTCCTCAAAGTGGAATACTCCCTACCTGAAGTGCCGAGGTGGTGGTTTGGCATCTAGAAATTGTGCGTTTGGGGTGCTCCCTACGAAAGCATGCAATTTCCACCGGGTCATCGCTTCTTGTATGGTTTGACAACAATTTGACAGCTGGGCTGCTACAGAGGAAAGGATACAGGAGCTTAGGTGTTCTTCTCACTTATCGCTCGCTTGTGGATGTCAACTTGACGCCGAAACTCCGCAACGATATCCCTGATAAGAGGGTTTCTGGGATCGGTATGACAAATGAAGCCTAACCGAGATGCTAAAACCGCCACTTTAATCTGCAAATCGAGCCGCACTGCAGAAGGAGCGCTCACCGGCGGTAACGTGACATGAAGTGGGGAGAGCGCTGAAGGCGCTTGCTGTAAACTCCATTAATCCGTCCGGTAGTACACGAAAACGCAATTGAGAGGCGTGTGAATCAAGACAATTATGGAAGAATACGCTGTTGCTAGCTTCGGTCGCCAGGATATACTGCTTATAAGACCAGGCCTCGCAACTTTTAAATCTTTGGCGACCCCAATTAGGTCAACAGGTAACAGAACTTGTTCATTTGTTATTGTATTAATAAAATTTATTTAAATAATATAGATAACCACATGGCATAAGGGGAAAGCAACACCAGAACGCCAAAAGGACGAATTAACAAAGCAAACTTCATACAACCTTAATTTCCTATACACCCTTTTTGGGAGCAACAATTTACCCCAATATGCGCACCTACTGTTGGCGCCCACTCAGCAACTCTTCTCTTACGCGATGCTCCCTTGATTTTCCCAAGCATTCGTATCCCATTTCGAACTTCGAACTGGTTTTCCGAGGCAAACATCGCGCACAACCGCATCAACAAACTAACAACCAAGCTGCGCCGCGCAGTGCTGCCTGACGACATTGGTATTGCAGTTGGTACTTCTATTCAATAAAGTGGTGTCGTTTTACTGATTTGCCGTTGTATCGCAGCGCTGCATTTTCAGTTCGGTTTCGTACATTAACGTGTAAAGACGTTCGTTTAACGGTAGCCGTCGATTGAAAGCGCCGCATTTCGCGCTGCCTGTATGTGTGTGTACGCGCGCTTAATGTGGGGGAAAATCAAAATCAAAATCAAAATTATACTTAATTAATGAAGTTTTGAAAAAAATGCTGTAATTTCAGTATGAAAGATTTTTGTTATTGTTACTGTTGTTGCTGGCAAAAATTGCAAATCTTATATTTATGTATGCAGTAAATAATAATATAATGTACACAATAAAATGAAAAAATAACAAAAACATATGTACATACATACATACATATAATCATCGCATGTAAGCCGCAGCATCCGAACACAAACACGTTTATTGTGTTGAAGTAGCAGCAGACAATGCGAAAAAAGCGTCTCCGCCCAATGCGTAGGAAAGAAAACGCCAATCTTGACGCGTCGCTAATGCAAAGTATGGTAAATAAATAAATAAATAACAAAATGATGATGGTTTGAATGAATGAATGAAGTGCTCAAGTGTTTTGAATTTTACTGTAATTATATTTACAGTTTTCATGATAATGTTGATTAGGCTGATGGAGACGAGTGTCAAGTGTTGAATGAAACGTTTGGTTACATTCGAAGCGAAAGTCAAATAATATTTCAATGCAAATAAACATATTTTATTTCAAAAATATTTTCAAAAAAAAAAAAAAATTTAAAAAAATTAAATAAAAATAAAACATAAAATATAATATAATTTATAAAAAGCAGTCTGCCTATTTTTGCATTCGCTCATAAAACGCAAGGGAAAAAATGTGAATAAAATATATATATATGTATATTAATCGCATAACTTGCTACCGCGCGGAGGTCGCGGCAAAGGTCAAAAATTACAAATATTAAGTGTTCATGTATCGCATTATAACAAAGAAATTCCCTTTGTGGCAACAAAATGTTGCAAGGTGTGTGGCATTGTGAAAATATATAGAGTATTGTATTTGAGCTGAAATACTTAAATGAAATTTTGGTGAAAAGCTAATAAATTAATATAAAAATTAAATTGTAGTTGCTTTGGTGTGCCGTCTTGGCTTGCTTACAAAGACGCGCTTCCCTGGAAAGCCGCTATTAGACACCACGCACATTGCAGGTGCTACCATTTACTCGTACGTCAGAAAGGTGGAAATTTAAAAAACAAAAGCTGACTCTTAGTGACTTCACTGCCAAACGCGAAAAATAAATGTAAGTATTTTCATAAAAAAACTTTACGCAAAATTTAAAAGTAAAAGAAAAAGCCAATCAGGCGCTCTAGAGAAAGGACAGTCAAAGAGGCGTACGTAGCCCAATCTCACGCGCACACATCTCGAGCTGGCTGGCATCTCCCACCATGTGTTTCTTTTATTTCCTTTTTTCGTATTTTATTTTTACTCCAAATTTTACTGTTTTCTGCCTTTAGCCACCTTCTTCTGCCTGCTCGCGTGTTGCGCTCGACTTCCCACTCCAATTGGTCTTTTGTATTTTTTGTTTTTATTTTTAAGTATTTTTTTTTCTTGCTTTTTTGTTGGTTTCTCGTTTCACGTCTCGCCGCGTTGTTACACGCAATTTTTTTTTTATTTTTTTTTGCCTTTCTTACTTTCTCACTTTTCTGTATTTACTTTGTGTTGTTTCATTTTTCGTTGTTGTTTTCACTTTAATTCCTTTGTAGCGGCGAAATCCTTTTAGGTTTGGAATTCTTGTATTTTATTGTAATTCCCGCTATGCAGGATATTCAAGGATATATTTAAGCTGCTTTATTGATTGCACCCGGCGTTTGGGCAAATCTGCCTCAACTCGGCTTTCGTACAAGTGCATGTGTGTGTAGGTGCGTGTTTGTATAATGTTTACGTATATTTGTGCATGTTCTCTTGGTATGCCTTGTTTGCGTTTTGCTTTCGTTGCTGTTTATTTTTGTTTTTCCAATTGTTTTTCCTTATTTCTTTCTCTCGCTGCTTCTCAATACTTGCTGCGGAGGTGTCCTTCACGCACAGCACACATTCAGCCAGTTCGGCGTGTCGTTTTGTCTGTCAGTGTGTTTACCATGTGCTGACTGTTGGACTGTCTGTTTCGTTTTTTGGGGTTGTAATAGGAACCCTCGCTTCAAATTCTTCGCACTCATTTTGTCATTTGCTTATCCATGAATGTGCCTTTAGTTGGGAAAATGCGTGAATGAATGAGTGTGTTTGTATGTATGTATGTATATGCATGGGTGTGTTTTGAATGCGTATTTGATTGTATGTACATAACCCGAAATGGTAAACGGATTTACTGGCAATTGTCGGCAGTAGAAATCAAATCATTTGGGTTTCCCCAATTGCTGGTCAGGATTTGTTTGATTTCGTTCGAAAAATATATGTAAATAGTTTCAATATGAAATAAGGGAGAATTTAATTTCAGGATGATGAGATAATGTTATCAGTTTACGTAGAAAATTACTTTTTTGCTTGATTTGGAACTTTGCAAAATTTTTTCGATTTATCTGAATATTTTCGAAAATCATTTTGTTTCATTTAAATCAAAAATTTCGTTATACAAAATCATATTTAAAGTCAAACCGGCCTTCAAACTCATAATTATTTAAACTCGAGTGTTAAAATATATATAACAGAACACTTTGTTAAAAACCCGTAGATTTATAAAAACTTTGTATTAAAATTGCACACAAAACGTGACAAATTATTAACGTAAACCTTCTCATAGAATCACTCAATAAATTTGTGAAAAATGAAAAATGAAATGAAATGAAAATCCGTTTAGTGGGTTTTGAGCTTTCGTTAGTAGATTTTGTCATTAAGTTCATGATATCTGACCACTTATCTTCGCTAGCCATTCACATAGATTATTATCCGTTACGGTTTGAGGAAATTTTGGGCTCAAAAATGCTTCAGCGATTACGAATCATCCAATTTGGGTATTAGAGAAAAACACAGCACCATAGAGCAGGTGCATAGAATCATGGACAACATAAGATCAGCGTTTGAAAACAAGCAGCAATATACTGGAGGGTTCCTCGATGTTGCACAGGCATTTGATAAAGTTTGGTTAGATGGTCTGTTATACAAGCTATTACGCTTCCCGTAAAAATTTATGATGCCTTAGAAAGCTTTCTTGTTGGCAGAAAATTTCGTGTGGCAAACAAATTACACCACTGAATCATATGAAATAGTTGCTGGTATTCCACAAGGAAGTGTTTTAGGGCTCGTCTTATATTTAAATTATACGAACGATCTTCCCACCAACCGAAACCTTAATACCTCAACTTTTGCGAATGATAAAGCAATACTTAGTGTCCATTCAAACCCCATGACAGACAGTTACAGATTACAAGAACATTCAAAAGTAATGGAAGAGTGGCTAACAACTTGGATAATTAAAGTCAATGAGTCTAAGTCCACACAAGTAACTTTTACCCTATAAAAAGACACCTGTCCTTCAATCTCTATAAATGGGTATACGATACCTCAGAATGAGTTCGTTACCTACCTGGGAGTTACATTGGATAAAAGACTCACCTGGAAAACCACATAGACAAATTGATTACCCAAACCAAATTGAATATTGCAAACTTGCACTGGATTGTAGGCTCTAAGTCCAAACTAAGTCTAGAAAACAAAGTTTTACCTTTTAATATGCTTATAAGGCCATCTCGGACATACGGGAGACAAATTTGGGGTTCAGTATCTAAATCTAGCCTACATAGAATTCAAAGACTGCAGTATAAGCCCCTAAGGTCAATATGTAAGGCCCCTTGGTATGTAAACAACTCCACAATTCACAACGATCTCGGTATAAAAACCGTCACCGAGGAAATATTGTAGATAAAATGCCTAAAAACTGCTCTTTAAGGTTATCTAACCACCCAAACTTTCGAGCTAAAAAATTATATCAGCAGAACTACTTCAAGCGATTAAAGAGAAAGGATTTACATTTGAACTGTGACTGAGGACTCTGCCGCATCCAAATATTCTAAATCGGAGTTGCGCTCCGCACATATCCTTCATGATATTATAATTTACTTCAAATTATCCTTTATGATATATCTTTTGTCTATATAACAAATTCTTTGATAAATCTAATTTATACATATTCATAATTTATTGTATTTTGTCAATCTACACAGTGGCAATGATTAACTTGTTCCAGGAATAAAAATTAGCTTTAAGATTTTCGAAGTTGTTGTTAGTTTCCAAAAATGAAATGGAAAGATTAAATAAAACATTATAAAAAAAAGTCGGATGCGATTGTTTCGTTACTCTCATCGTTCTTGCAGTTCCTACCAAATTTCATATATGGTATCACCAATCTCTCCACATATCGCTCCAAGATAGTTGGCCTCACTCTTCCGATAACAACTCACGGCGGTTTTGATCTTGTATTTCTTGCTTTTATGGCTGCCTGTGACATTTAAAATTAAAATGATAATACCCTGAAGAACACTGTAACTAGAAAGGGGGCTTCCAAATGAAGGTTCCAAGCTAGAATTTCATTCCCAGAATTCCCAGATATCGGGTGACGTGAAACTAAATCACTTTATTAAACTAGACGGTTTGAAGTTTCGAAAAAAGTAGCAGTCCTTAGCCTAGTTGAGAGGTGATCTATGGCCAAATTTAGTTGCTGAAGCACAGTTCCCAAAAAAAAAAAAATTTGAAATCGGTACCCCACAGTAACTGGGGGGAGATACAGATAAATAAGCTTAAAACATATCAAAACACCGCACTGAGCACTGGAACGACAAATCCACTGATGCCACCCCATGCACCTCTTACACACTAAAATATCTATGCTGCCAGTTGAAGAGTATAATGTTGCGCTGTTTAATATTATCTGCTAAGATGCTACCAAAGAGACGATGCTAGCAGACATCTACTTGAAGGCGAACCATTACGTATCGTGTAGTATGCAGCTCTTACTTACTCCGACTTAAACCCGACCCAACGTTCGTTAGTTAGTCAGCCTCCGCTCGGCACTAACTATCTCTTTGCATGCCCACTATAACCTGCGCATCTAGAACCGCACCAATTACTAGCAGGGAAGTTTTGGTATATAATTACCACCCTCCAGGTGACAGCCTGAAAATATGCTGGCTGGGTGAAAGCATAATGTAGGCGGAGCTGTCATTTCAGAGAGCACTCCAATGGAACTATTTTTTAGACTATCTGACAGTTCCAGTGTTTTCCAGACGTAGATATCAGAAATTCGAAGCCATCTTTTCGGCGACAGTCGAGTGTCTCCAGTAAAAGCATTGGACTAGCTTACACTAAATTACGAATAAGAACTGGGCTCTCGCTGATCTCTACAGGAGATGACCAAGCAGAACAGATTGCTTCTCACACGAGTCCCTGGTCACAGGGACTTTAAAGGGCACTGTAAAGCGGATGCACTTGCTATACAAGACAAACATGTTTTGTTTTTTTTCTAGATAAAGGTCGCATTGGTATTCCTTTGGCCACTTGTAAATTACTTCTCAAAGAAATTCACATATTAACAAGCCGCGTTAAAGTGGAATGTACTAAAACCTGCCGCAACACCAGGCACACTCGACTAACAATGGTTGGAGGTCACCAGATACTCGTATGTCCAACATAAAAAAAGGGAACATGTCCAAAAGAATAAAATTTTTAACAAGCCACTATCTGATAGGCCAACACGCAGAAAGACTACCTACACGCCACCTAAAGAAGATGCTGTAGCAGCTGCAAGCACAATGACGAGCAGGAAATGATCATCCATCTCTTATGCCACTGTCGTGTTTTGAGCAGGCTACGTTACGGAATTTTGAGACCCTGCTGGTGGATGATATATCGAAGATAACTGACGCGTCATGTCGTGGACTGAAGAGGTTCTTAAGAGGGAATGAGAGAGAATCTTAATGGCTGGATAATAAAGCCTGATGGTCAAGTTTTAGTGGCATTACATTTAGTCTTAGTCAGACCTAAATAAGAAATCTATGTATAGGTTAGATCGATGGATACCACAACTTAACCTAACCCAACAACTCTTTTTCGAGTCCATCCAGCTCGTTTCCTGGACTGACGTTGTCTGCTCTTAGGCAAAGTTGAGTTAGTCTCTACAACAACAACATCAGCAATATGATGCCGGTCTCTCTTTTCTGTGAGAGAGTTTTGAGCTTCAGTTATTGTATGCGGTTTTTTCCTTTAGCTAAATATAAGCTCAGACTTCGCTTAAAGCAAAATATTTCAAATAAA